CTGGGCGGAGGGAGGAGGAGGAGGGGGGGGGGTAGAGGGAGGAGGGAAGCAAAAAACGAGGGAGGAGGGAGAAGGAAGGAGGGAGGAGAAAAGAGGAGGGAGGAGGGAGGAGGGAGGGAGGAAGGACGGGGGGGAGGGAGGAGAAGGGAGGAGGGAGGGTGGAGACATGAGCCAGGAGGCAGGGAGGACGGTGGCAGAGGGAAAACGGAAGAGTGAGGAGGAATGAGGAATGGAAGAGCCAGGAGGCAGGGAGGGGAGGCGAGAGGACTAGAAGGAGAGGAAGAATGAGGCGCGGAGGAGGAGGAGGAGGAAGATGAGGGAGGAATGGAGGGAGGAGGAGGAGAGGAGAGGAGGAGGGAAGAGGGAGGAGAGGGGACGCGGAGGGGACGAGTAGGACGAGGAGGAGGAGGAGGAGGAGGAGGAGAGGAGGAGGAGAAGGAGGCAGCAGCAGCAGCATGAGTAGCATGAGGAGCAGGAGGAGGAGGAGGAGGAGAAGCAGCAGCAACAGGCGGAAGAGAGGGAGGAGGAGGAGGAGGAGGAAGAGGAGGAGGAGGAGGAGGAGGAGGAGGAGGAGAAGCAGGAGCAGGAGCAGGAGCAGGAAGAGGAGGAGGAGCAGGAGGAGGAGCAGGAGGAGGAGGACCTCGAGGTTGGCCAGTGGTCTTGTCAAAAACAGCACCTTCCTTACCAAAAAGGGAGGCTATCGCAGGGATACGACTTCTCCATTAGCGAGCTTGGCAAGGAGCACGTTGCCTGCTGCAGTGGGCGCCGTGCAGTTTTTCAGCGCATTCGGTGAGCTGCGTGTCCTGCGGGGCACCTGCGTGTCCTGCGGAACACACACGTAGCACAATCGAAAACAGCCTCGGGTGCGACCGCCATTTCATGGCTCGGGCGGCCCTCGGACCTGGTTTCAGTCCCCGAGGGCACCCAGGACAGGGACGGCAGGGAAACGACGAGGGCCAGACAAAAACTCTTGGGTGGCGGCCGTCGAACTGACTGTCACAGATGGAAGGCACACCGAGCACAAATCCCGTCCGTTGGGACTGCTGCCTAGCGGGGTCATCTCGAGCTGGGATTCACCCAGTTGGCGGCTGAAAGTCGTTGCTAATATTAGGCTGGCTTGGCCTGGATTTAGCCATGGGCTTCTGGTGACCTCTCGCCTTCGCCTTCGTCTTGGACCTCGAGGCTCCGTACTCCCCAGCAGCCCCGGGGGGGAACACACACACACACACACACACGCACGCACGCACACACACACACACACACACACACACACACACACACACACACACACACACACACGCATACACAACAACAACAACAACAACAACAACAACAACAACAACAACAACAACAACGACAACAACGACTACAATAACAACAACAACAACAACAACAACAACAACAACAAACAACACAACAACAACAGCAGCAGCAACAGCAGCAGCAGCAACAACACCAACAACAACAACCACAACAACAAGAAGAAGAACATCAACAACAACAACAACAACAACAACAACAACAACAACAACAACAACAACAACAACAACAACAACAACAATCATTTTACCCGAACGCTCAGTGTTCTCCCCAGTGCCAGGGTTTTCTTGCGACACCAGCCAATACCCCCACTTCGTGGGGGGGCCGTTCAAGCTCTACAAAATATCCAAACGACTCTTCGAGACCACCCACACCCAGCTTCCCGCCCTATGACGTTGGGACACTTCACTTCGTGGCGTGCGGACGACCCTGGCTACTACACTGGCGTGGGGTACACACCCACAGAGGTTGATCACATCTGTTACATATGATGTGGTACACGGTACACGTGAGATGGTACGCAGTGCCAAGATAGTTGGTCACATTTTTGGGGCAAATTCGTGGGGATGCGATTACAGAAGTACATGTGTTACACTGATGTTATACAGTCCCAAGGATGACGCATGCATTGCTCATAGACTCATGGCGCTATGATCCTAACTCTCAGTGCCCAACGCGCGCGTGCACAGCCAGACAAGGTTCGTGGGGCCATCTTGGGGGTCTCTTGGAGCCACCTTGGAGCCTCTCTGGAACCTCTTGGGGGCCTCTTGGAGTCCTCTTGAAGCCTCTTGGGACCATCTTGGGCGCCTCTTTGGGCCTCATGGACGCCTCTTGGGGCCATCTTGCGCGCCTGTTGGGGCCATCTTGGGTTTTAAAGATTCATCAAGAGACCGCGAATGGATTTCGAGATTTTTCGGATGAGAAAGTAGTGCGTTTTCATATGTTTTCTGAACATCGCATCTTGAAATTATTGAAAACCCATTGTGTTTGGCAGGATTTCGACATGCGCGCGCGGCGGCCGCGCGCATGTGCACTTCGTCTCATTTTTTGCAAGGGATGGTGGCCCTCGCAGGCGCGCAACCGTTGTTGGAGAAGTTCAAAGCACCTGAAGAAGTAGCACGCAAAGACCCTTTTGACAGAAATGTTTAAAAAGTGGTGTGTTTCCTATGAATCCGCAAGAGCGCGCGGAAGGACATTTTGACAATTTTTTCTTAAAAAACCATTGGGTTTTTGATGTTTTTATGTTAAAATCGTTACGAAACCTAAGGTTTTGGAAGGATTTCGTCTTGCGCGCACGAATGTCCACTTTACCTTATTTTTTGCAAGGGATTCTTGCAATTTGATCAAGTAAGAACAAGAATTTTCATTTTCTATTGTTTTTTGCAAGGGAAAACGAGCGTCAACAAAAAACCGGATCCGGGGGTAATCCACTTTTCTGAAGCTTTCGCAGAAAAATGATGAAAATGTAGCTGCGGCCTAGGTTTTGGGCGGGGGGCGTGCACCAGGGGGTCCAACAATAATAATTCTTTAGAAGTAATAGTGTTCAACAAAAACAACAACAACAACAACAACAACAACAACAACAACAACAACAACAACAACAACAACAACAACAAAAACAACAACCACACCAACAACCACAACCACAACCACAATCACAACCACAACAACAACAAGAATCAGTTTAAGACTGTTCGCTCTTATCTGCTCGGGTGTCCGTTAACGCGTATACAACAACAACAACAACAACAACAACAACAACAACAACAACAACAACAACAACAACAACAACAACTACTACTACTAAACAATACCAGCGGCCGCTCGGTTTCGCACGGAGCGCGTCGGCGCCTCAGATATCTGCCCTGCCTCGACTTCACCTGGCGGCAGCCGAATTGTGCCGGAGATCTGCGGGACCACGACGCCAGGCAAAAATCGCGGCGAACAAGAACGCGGGCCTCCCAGCCCGCCCCCAGCTCCAACTGTCCACCCAAAAGCTCGCGGAAATGCCCCGCGGGAGCAAATTAACGCAGTGCCCTCGAAAGGTGGAAAGGAGACCTGCGTCCAGAAGGCGGGCGAAATACCTCGAAGCCACGCAGAGGGCTGATATTCATGCTGAACTTCTGCACGATGAGCGAGACGCTCAATTGTTCGGGCATGCGCCAGGTCTTAGCTCGATTCGCATTGCCACGCACGATGACATAACGTCAATTTAGGTCCTGACTTGCACCTGTCGCAGACCGCGGAATAATTCAAGCCTGTATCTATCCATAACTCGTCGCCCGGGCCACTATCCTCCTGCTGCCACGCAAACAACAGACCCAGCCTACTGCGATTCATCACGCGAGCGTGCTGCGAGCACCTCCTTGATGATGTCAGCCCAACCCACGCAGCGCTGCATGTCGTGGCCCGCGTCGAGTCGCGCTGCGCGTGCCCGCATGCGCCAGCGATCTGCGATGCCTAGCCCGCGTTTTTTGGCGGTGAGGGAGGGGGGGAAGTGAGAAGGAGAAGGCCTTCTCAGAAGGCGGCGGGACTTCTCAGAAGCCCTCGCGCCTTCTGAGATGTTTTTTCTGTCTTCGGGGAAGACTTAGAAAACTTCTCAGAAGGCTGGGGGACTTCCGAGCCTTCTGAGAAGGCCCGCCCCTTCTCACTTCCCCCCCTCGCTCGCCGCCGAGTTTTAGATCACATCTGTCGAACGCATTGGGGCCGAGAGGTCCTCCGAAGTCCTGAACTGAACACCCTGAACCAAAGCCCAATCCCAAGGCCCCGTGGGTTCCCATTGGAGGTCCAGGAGGACGTTGACCACTGATCTAGATGGCTCTGTCGTTTACCGCCGATGGTAAGCAGGTTTTGCTCGGGCTCCATCTACATGCACTTGCCGAGCGCGCTGCGCATACGATGGCGCCTGCGAACTCGATGTGATAATGGAGAGCCAACGGTCTAGCATGCGGAACACTTGCGAAATCGCAGGATCTTGGCCCCCCAGCTCGATTTGAATGAGGGCATCCAAGCACCTGCCTCTAACTGGCGATGAAATCGAGCGGGCCAGAACGCTACGCCAGGCCAGCACAGATGACGGCGGCATGCCATAAACAGACGAATCGCATTGAACGCGTTCAAAAGCTCCTCGATGCACGACGCGACGAGCACCTGCGAAAAATGCTAATGCGAGCACTTGCCATGCTGCTGCACGTACGCTTGCTGATCGCGGGCGGCCTCTCACGCTTCGACCTCGGTCGAGCGACTGCGATGCGAATGTTATGCTGAAACACGCGGCTTGATGCTTCCTTCGAGCGCTGAGTGTCGGTGGAAATGATTGCGTTCTTTGCTGCGGCGGAAAGGTGCGATCGATCCCATAACCTTCCAAGCTCAGCGCCTGCCTTTACCCGAGCACAGGCGAGGTGTCTAGACGGGCAACACGCGCAACGATTAATACCATCCACCCAAGGCGACGCACTGACGGTAGGCGAGAGCGTGGTATACACCAGCTCTGGGACGAAACACATCTAGAGACGGCAGAAAACTGCACATCGCCGAGCCCCCGCGATGGTGGACCCAGCAGGGCACACCGCCTCCGAGAAGCTGCCCTGCTCGCGGAGATGTCTGGCCAGCAGGCGTGCGAAGCCCTCCAGTGCAAGAATCTGCTGCGGCAGATCACACTGCAAGCCTGGGTCGAAAAA